CCTCTTTGGCCGCGGCAGCCTATACTGCCGCGCCAATAGCCGCGGCAGTGTAGACTGCAGCGGCCAAAGAGAAAACATCCGGTCGGTTATTTTGCCCCCGTTTCAACTGTGGTGCACTCAGACTCCTATAAATACCTCACTAGACACGAAATAAAGGAGAGAGCATTTTGAAGCAGAAGAGATTTGAGCTTTTGTTGATTTTGAGGAAGAAAGAGAGAATTTTCACCCTTTGACAAGCATCATTTGGTGATTCCTAGAGATCTAAGCTCAGACTTGATCTTTGGAAGAGTGAACATCTTACATCGATAAGATATTCGCTTTCAAATCTTTACTTCGATAAACGAAGGAAAGATCCCCAAACACATTCACGATCTGTGAATCGGTGGTCAACGATCCAAAGCACTCCCGGCACAGGCAAAGTCCCACAAAGCAGGAGTTGATAAACAATTTCTGTGTTATTTTCTCGAGAGTTGTATTTTCGTTTATTTTCATTGTATTTTCCTGTAAACACATCAAAGTTTTAATGGAATCGACAATGGAGTCAACTTTCGCTGAAAACAACTCCAGCAGAACCTAAATTGTTTCAGTTGCAAACTTTCGTCAAAGTTAGTCTTACACTTCTGACAACCATCATCCCCACAGAGTTTGAATTTAGCTTGCATAGCCTCCAAAGGGACGATAATTCCTCTGTCAAAATCAACTTATCGATTCTCATCAATAGAATGATAAGTCCCCAAAATCACTCAGAACATGGTTAATTTACTGATTCTCCTCGACAGAGTAGTAAATAACCAACTTATCAACTCCCTTCGGTGGAGTAGTAAAATTCTCTCGATCTTGTTCAAATCACAAGTATCACAAGTCATCGCTTCGATGATAAACCATTTGGCGATTTTCCCCAGCAAGACGTTAAGTCCCCTAGATTGTGTTCAAATCACATCAATATTTCTTCATGTCACGTTAATATCATACCTCTGACAAAATTAACTTATCAACTCTCCTCAATAGAGCGATTATTTCTCAAAATTGCACCGATCGTAATATTTCTCCCTGTCATGTTAGTATCACACCTCTGACAAAATCAACTTTTCGACTCTCCTCAATAGAGTGATAAGTCCTCAAAATTATCACGATCGTAATATTTTTCCTGTTACGTTAATATTATACCTCTTAACAGTTTAAACCCTCCTATGGGAACATTTTTTTCCCTCTTTATAAGAATAACAAGTGTTCTCATAAAATCCTCAGCGAGTCAAATTCTTTTCAAAATTGCCTCGTTGGGTGTGCACGAAGGGCGTAATTGGCATAGACCCCTCCAGAGAGAGTAGTGGATGACCCCTCAGACACATCACCTACTGCTCTCTTCTTCCTCCTCGGTGCTGCCAAGAGTGCCCGATCCTTATCAGTGAAGATCATCTCAGCTTCTTCTTCCCTTTCTGTCACTATCAAGTTTGCCTGGTGGCCTCCTCTTCCACCTCGCCTGCCTCCACAGCCACGACCACGGCCTCCAGCCTGACCATGTTCACCCCAGTTCCTTTCCCTGGGTGGCTTAGGGCATATCTGTCTCAGATGCCCTACCTCTCCACAGTTGAAGCACTACCTAGTCTCCCCTCTGAATCCAGTGTTATCCGGTTTGGATACCACCAGTGCAGACTTCTCTTGTGTAAGTCCACTTGTCCCAGCCTGTAGCCTGATACGGCTCTCCTCCTGTATCATGGCCGAGACTGTCTCCTCCAATGGTGGGATCTTCGTCTGGGTTAGTAGCAACGCTGTCCCCTGCTCATACGCTGGAGCCAAACCATGGAGAAACGACATGGTCCTTTTCTGCAAAGAGGCCTCACGCTGCTTGCATTCTGGGTCCTTGCAGCTCGCTAGGGGTGAGAAGTGATCGTGATCGAGCCACAAGCGCTCTAGCTCTGTGGTGTACTCCTGTATAGTCCTCTCTCCCTAGACTGTAGCGCTGATCTCCTTCTCGATCTGGAATACCCTCAGGTTATTCCCCACCCCATCGTAGGTCCTCCTCAACTTCTCTCACACATCCTGCACCCTCCCAAGGCCATCCACTGTGGCAGCAATTGGATGGACTACAGAATTCAGAAGCCAGATGTACACCAACATATGAGTGGACTTCCACTCATCTCTTCCTACGGAGCCCTCAGCCGGCTTAGTCTTCTACCCTGTCAGATATCCCTCTAGGCTCCTCCCGGCAATGGTATATTTCACCCGACGCGACCAACTCAGATATGTCGCGGGTCCATCAAGTTTTACATCGATAGGTGGAAGCTCCACCTTCTTGGGTGGTGGCTTTGTCGAGCCCTCTCCCTTCGACAACCTCATCAGTTGCATCAGTGTTGAGATCTCATCAGGAGTTGAGATCTCCTTAGGATTCAACTTCTTGATGATCTCCTCCATCGGATTTCTGCCAGTCTCCGTCGTCGATCCAACTTGTATCCTTGTTGTGTGTAGCGAAAATTTCGACAGCACTTCGACAGCACAACAAGAGAGTTAGATTAACAAGAATTCTTGTTTCACCAAGAAAACAAGAACCAAAAAGTAAAATATCTCAACAAAGTAAAATATCAGCTCTTCCTCTCATCAGTTCTAGGACTGACCTGTCGAGGGAACCTAAACAAGCTATTACAGATCTAGAATAAAAAACAACAAAAAAACAGCATAACGAAACTACTTTATCATCTAATACATGTCCTAATTTTTTATTTTTTTCTTGGATCTGATTGGCAACAATCCCCAAAATAAATTTCCTTCTTCTCTTGGATCTGATCGGCAACACTCCCTGCAGATCAAAAAACCAAACTCCAAAACGAGATTTCTCCAGCTCCCGCCATCGGACCCTCCCCTGTATCTGCGATCACATCACCGACGCCCTGCACCTTCATTGACTTCGGCCTCCTCTGCATCCGGCTGTCTCCTCCTACCCTACAGTCATCGTGGTCGCAGCCTCCTGCCCTACAGTCGTCGTGGTAACACCATACCTGCCGCCGGTCACGTCACCGACTCCCTGCTCCTCCGTCGACGCTTCCCTACAAGAGAACTCCACCGAGCAGGCCTCCTGATCGTTGATGATCTTGGAGTCAATGACCTCGCCGCCTGGAGATCTAGAGGCTTCGGAGGCCCTCTGGTGAAGACGAAGCCCGAGGATGAAGACCAAAGCCCTCGGATTTGTTCGGGTTGGATTTCGTCGGGTTGAAGAGGGAGGCGGCTAGGTTAGGGCTCTGATACCATATTGAAAATTAGGGTTTTTTTAATTCACTTTCTCACTGATAGAATAGATTGGCTTATATAGCCTTACACCCACATTTACACAAAACCCCCTCTAATATTCTCTAATTACATTATCTTTTCAACAAGTGGTTACCAAGATAACAATGAAAACCTTACCTTACGTGGCGTGATCTCGCCCACTGAAAGTGATGTGGGCAGTAAGGATTGAGGGGATTGGACCCTCTCCCGTTACCATATAATTCAAGAGGATTCAGATGTATTAGACATCTCATGCCTTTAACATGATTGTAGACATTATTTACATAAAATTTCAGAACAAGTTATGCAAAACAATTAAATATATTTTCTAGATTAGTTTAGTGCATCTGGTCATAAGATTAAATTGCTTCTAAACTAAATGACAACAGGTTATGATATTCAGCTACCACCTTGTTTTCAATAGAGTTTCTGCGAGTACTTACTTTTTGTTTGTTTGTTTTTCGACAAATCAATTTGCGTTTCCCGGAGGTCAGAAAATAATACCATGGAGCGCGAGGAGATGAAGAACAAAGGGAACGTGTCTCATAAACGACCAATTGTTGTCAATAAAAGTGTAGGAAGTGATGAGTTGTCGTCTGAGAAGAAATTGAAGACTAATTCTCGAGAACTTGTCAAGAATCTACTCTCAAGAGTGATGAACGATTCCTCTCATCAAAAGTCAGTATTTTTTATTAACCTCACCCGAAGTATTCATGATATGGGCATTGAGCCCATCAACGTACTTGACTACACTCTCTCATGGATGCTAACAGAGCGCAAATCACTCAAAGATGAAGAGGCCGGCTTCCTACTGAAAGTGATGAGCAAGGTATTGCCCAGTTGCGATGAGGACAAAGTTCGACCTTTGGTTTCTCGAATTATATTAGTTGCCCAACCTTTTGTTGAAGGTGCCTCCTCTCATTGTTGCATCAAGAAGAGCGAGATCATCTACACTCTCGGCAAAATCACGGGTTTGGATGAAATTGCTGTGCTGATTCGTCTTCAAATGAATGACAGTAGTGATTACGTAAGGGATGTGGCGGTCAAAGTTATGGGGATCGTAGCATCTGCACTCGGAATTCATGTTGTTTTTCCATTCATCGAAAGTTGTTGTCGAGGAATTGAGCCATTGCGAGTCCGTTGTGCTGCTATAAGAATGGTGGAGCAGTTTGCTGTGAGGATCGGATGCACGTTGCTGCCACATCTTTCGTCTCTAATTGAACTTATGGAGTTCGGTCTCCTTCACAAGGATTTAGAAATTGTGCGAATCATGATCACAGCTTTATCTCTCGCTGCTCTTGCTAAAGCGGTGGCACCCTATGGATATGAGCACTTTATAAATCGATATTGTATCGTCTCTTCGATTTCTTCAGCAAAGATGGAGTTGGTTTTATTCATCGAAGAGGGAAAGTGTTGGGAGCGCTGGTGAAGCTATTCACTTGCATTATTCAACTTCTAACGTATCCATATCCCAGCGACATCAATTGGAACGTAGCGAACGGGGTATTGCTCGTGACGAAACTTTCGGTAGAGGTAGACGACGAGGAGATGAAGGAGATTGGATTCGAAGCCATCAAAAGCCTAGTTGAGATCAAGGACGTTCCGTTATAGTGTTTTCTAATTATGGGCGAGCCTAGTTGTTTCGTGCTAATTATGTAGACGAGAATGATGATGAGAAGGGACAAGTACGTGTTGTTGGCCGATGCAACCGTTGCTTTGGCCAATAAGTTGGGAGTTGCGTATCTCAAGAGATCAATATCTAAAGAACTTGATGACTATAGTGAAGATTACAGGCAGATGGTGTTGGAAATAATTGAAAAGTTGTTGGCATGTCCTGATAATTCATCGGATCGCAATGCTCAGTTGGAAGACGCCTTTCAGGATATCGCCTACTTGTTTTGTTCTTCATTTTAGATTATATTGACGCAACCAACAAATTTTTGCTTTTGAGATATCCTTTTTTTTCTTTTTTTTTGGGATACGTGGATCTCCAGTATGTTTTTTTAGTGTCGAAACTGTTTCTATTGAAAAGCAACAATAAATGATATTAAAAAATATATTGTACGAGTATTTGTTGAACGTGCATTTAGGCCGGTGGCCTAATTTTTTGAGGACCGCCAACCACGGCCTTGCAGAATTACGGCCCACCGTTTAAGATCAAATATGACTGTTAGCGCATTTGCAATTGCACTGGTCAAGGTTGAATGCTCATATGGACTGTAGCGAAGGATTGAATCTTGATTTTATCGAAGGTAATTATTAACATAATTGTTTTAGTTTTTAAAAAACCTTATAAAAATGATCGCACTTTCTGCATTATGTAAGGGCATTTTTACGTATTCATCCCATATAAACTAATAAAATCCATGAATTAAACTGATGAAATACATGAAGAAATATAAAAATATACTATTGCATCATTAACCTCCTGCTAAATATTTTACTGTAGACTCACAAAATGATCTCGTTGAAACCATAAATGTAGTTTGGGGGAACAAAATAGGTAATTCGATACATTAGAGAGCATACTGATAGTTTACCAATACTTTAAGGGGAACGATCATTTTACCCTAGTTATTATGATACTAGTGGTTTTCAAGGTACCAATGGTTTTCAAGAGTACATGACATGTTCTCATCCATAAAAAGTAATAAGAACTCCAAGAATTGAGAGAATTTGACCCTCTCCAATTACCACATAATTAAAGAGAATCTGGTTCCTTTTATGTTTTGTATTATTGTGTTTTCATTTGGAATGGATTTATGCAATTTCTTTTGTCAATATATTAATCTAGAAATATCATTTTGTTTTATGTTGATCGTTAATGAATAAATTGTCTCTATGTTTATTTTTTTACTACGTAATTCTAGCAAAGTGTAAACCGTTTAAAATCTTCTCATTGACTATTTCCAGAGAAATTTTTTCACCGTATTTGAAATAATTGAATTACAAATAAATTTATAACTACTGGATAAAGAACCTCCTCTATTAAGCGAAGAGGAGGGAGATTTTATGTTGGCGCATGCCACCGCAATTTGACATTGATTCTTGCACACCAGCCGATAATCTATGCGAAAGCGTACTTTGCAAAAGCATCATCGAAGCATCTGATTAGATCTTCTCATTTTTCATAGACCAATCAATCACAGGACAATGAAGAAACTCTTATAAGTAACTTGTTCGAACTAAAAAGAAAGATGCAAATCACATAAAACAAATCAAGAGACGAAGACAAGAGATTTATGCTGCTCGACAATCAGTTGCATCCATAGGACGAGGGTTGAGTTTTCTTTATATTAGAGATTGCAAAGATAAAATCTTTCTTGTGATCTTTAAGGATTCCACAAGTGACTTAGTCTCTTTGTGCACAAGTTGATTTTCCTTGTGAACTTATTCACAACTAAGATTTCCTAGAACTTAAAAAATTAAGATCAAGAAACCAGAAAAATGTTAATATCAGGGGCTGTTTGCTTGCTTTCCTCCGTTTTCCAAGTCCAACAATCCTTCACTTTTTGGTATTTCATTCAATTTCATGGAAAGTTATTTCTTGTGTT